TCTGGAGGTGCCTCTGGAGGTGCCTCTGGAGGTGCCGCTGCTGGTGCCTCTTCAGGTGCGTCGGCAGGCGCCTCGGTGGCGGCCTCGGTCGGAGCGGGTTCGTCCCCCTCCCTCTTTCTGCGCCGCCTCCTCCTGACCGTGGTCTGCGTGGTGACATGCTGGCCCTGGTCGCTCGTCGTCGTCGTCTCGGGGCTGCGCGTCGTGGGCGTCGGGGTCGTGGTGGTCGTCCTGCCCCTCAACTTCATGACCTTCCTCTCCAGCGCCTCCACTTGCCGCCCCATCCACCTCCTGAACTTGCCCTCCTCCGCCGGGGAGGTCAGGTTGGAGACCACCCTCGTCCCGTTGCGGTACACGTAATACACCACGTCCTGGTCTGTAAAAGTAGGTCGAAATAACTAGATAGGTGCTCGATAGAGGGCTTCCGGGAAAAGGGGGACCCGTAACTGAGGTAAACTATAGTATTTCGATTTCATTAATTTTGCCGGCAGTTTTTTTGGGGGGAGGTTTTTGTTGGAAACGGCCAGAGACCCACCTGTCGTGTTTTCTACGATGGGGTGCGACTCCGCCAGGTCCTTGATCAGGAGCCCGATGGCCGTGCCGATCCCGATGGTCATCACTGCTGGGGTAAAGACATTGACGGCAGACTCTCTTTAGCACCACCCTTCCATACCGTATAACACATGATTGTTGTCAACCGCTTGGACTACTTACTGCCGATGTCTCTCCTGCGGCGGCCGGTGGCCGGGCCCCGGTCCGGGTCCAGGTCGCCGATGTCGTTGTTCGGCTCCTCGACCTCGACGACGGCTGCTTGCGCCCAGTCAAGGGGAACAGTAGTTAGGCGGCCCCCCCGACCCACCCAGCGCGAGAAATCGACATCGGTGATATCGAAACGACATCACTCATCAGAAACGCGTCCATTCCCATTCTAGGACCATTTCAGGATTGATTCGACACGAAAAGTGCCCTTTTCATGTTGCGATATGCACGTTGCGATATCAGACCCATTTCTCACTGGTCCACCGGGGCACAGTAAAATGGTTGGCGTCTTTTAACGCCAAAATATTGGCGTCCTCTGACGAACGCCACATATTGGCGTTCAAAGACGCCAAAATGCCCGAAGGACGCCAAATTTTGGCGTTCAAACAAAGCCAATCAGTTTACAGTGGGCTCAGCGGCCCGGGGGAAGCTCGGGAGGTGGCCACCAGCACGTTAATAAAACGGTTTCGTGCCAGTGATTAGGGGTTAGGAGTAAGCAGAGGAAAATACGTCACCGGGAAGCAGCCCAACGTAAATACAGACAGACAGAGGAACGGACAACCCGCCACCATACCACCCCGAGCGGAAGCAGCAACCAGCCCGAACGCTCACCCTTCTTGAGGACGCAGGTGCCGTTGTTGAACTCGTGGTCGTAGCGGCAGCGGCACTTGCCCTCCAGGCACACGGCCGCGCCCGAGGGGCCCGCCGCGCTGCGGAGCAGGATCACGCACTGCCGGGCCTCCTCGCACGACGGGTCGGCCTCGGTCGCCACTGCAGAGAGGAACACAGACGTTGAGCAGTGGGTCTCCGTCAAGTGCATACGCTCTAAAGCGCCGTGGTCATCGAGTTTGCTCAAAGTGTGGCGCTCCTCTTTGGTTTCAAAATTTTGTCCCTCTTTTGGAGAGTGCTGATTTTTGACCTCTCTCGCAACAAATGATGCTGGCCTCTGAGGCGGACATGACAGTCTACGACGGCGACGGTTGGCGTGGACACGCGAAAGCCTGCCATTATTCCTCGTACAACAGTTCCGGTGTTTTCAGTTCTTGTTTTTCTTTCCCTAAGCGTCTCTCTTGTAGGCGGAATCGCTTATTAAAATTACCGAAGCGGGACGACCTAGTGGGGGTCACCGCCATGCATTATTCCACGATTATTGACTTGGCCGGTGCATCTGGAGGGTGCCGCCGAGAGGGTCAAGGCGGCACGAACACACAGTTACAGAGAGAGAGAGAGAGAGAGAGAGAGAGAGAGAGAGAGAGAGAGAGAGAGAGCGCGCGAGAGAGAGAGAGGGAGATAGATGGTGTTGGAGCACCCCTCCCTGTGTGGTGCCAAAAGGGGTATTCTTGTCGCAGTGTCCTCGCCACACGCCGCGGGGTCAAG